TCGAGAAGTTCGAGGGTCTCATCGCGTCCCGACCATCCAATCCGAGCAGTACTTCTCCTGGCAGTGCGAACTCACAGCGAAGTGACCCATGGTCTTCTTTCGTGCCCTCTTCTGCTCGCTCTGCGACTCGTCCTGCTGCCACTGAGGAGGCTCGTAATCGCAAAAAGATATGGATTCGAGGATTTCCGAGGAAACTGATGGCCTCCTCTTTCCAGAATCACTTCTCGATGATTAAAACGAAGATGGACCGCGAGTACAAGGATAAGTGCAAAGCGCAGGTTCAGAACTTCAAGTTCAGCTATAACATTCAGTTTGAAAACGAGGATGATGCTCAGCTTTTCCACGCCGCCTCCAGAGCGGACCCAGCATTCCTTACCTGGACTGACCCTCGCGAGGGGAAGGTCTACCATCTTCGTGCTGGCTGGGATCGGCCACTACCGATTCGTCGACGCTCCTTCGCCCTTGGCCAGTGTTGGCAGCTCATTATGGATGAGATGAAGGTGAAGGGTCTCTGGCAGCAGTCCATGCGCCTCGGGTCGAACCCGTTCGCTGGCGTGCTCCACCTCTCCAACTCCGCCACGGAGGATGTTTGGGACCTGGTCAGGATCATGGAGAACGAGGGCGAGCTTGGCACCTTCAACATCACCCCGCAGAAGGACATGCACAACCTTGGGTTCGAAGCGACCTTCGTCGACGCATTGGCTGAGAGGGTTGCTGCCATCATTGCCAAGCAGCGCTAGGATGCAGTATCATCGGACACGGCAGCTGGCTCCTCGGCAGTGGCCTGCAGTACTGGTGAGCGACGTGGACGTCCACGTGCGGGTGCTCGTGCAGTGAAAGCGCGCCTCTGTGCCCCCCCCCCCCCCTTCCCCTTCCTTGCCCTCGCCCTCCTCCTCCGCCTCCTCCTCCCCTTCCAGCTCGTCGTGCGAGGAGCCGCCTTTCGTGCTCCCTGGCTCGCGCACTAAGATTTTGAATTCGTGGGGAGTTCCTTTTTCTCTGACTGAGTCGTTCGGGGTGGTTTCTTGGAATTCGCAAGCGTTGTTAGGTTCGGTTCATGCCAATCATCAGCGTCAGTGCCGCAAGTACGTATGTTTTCGAAACCTCGTCGAGAAATATATGATCGCAGATACGCAGGAGACACGTGGTACGCATGATGATCTGGGGACTCTTCGGCGCGACTTCCCCTCTCATTATCATATCGATTGTTTCTGCAGCACCCCGAATGCCGGAGGCGCCGTTGTATCCATCTCGAAAAAGCTCTTTCACAAGTTCTCGGCCGCTCGAGTGGCCCCCGTCGCCCCTGGGAGGATTCTAGTTCTCCGTCTTGCAGGTCCAGCTGGTCAGCTCGTGCTGGGCAATGTGCACTTAGACCCCGCCTTATGGTCTGGCGGAGTACATCGTGTTTTGCAGCAGCTCAGGCGTGTGGTTCCTGCTCCTGGCCAGGCTCTCGCCTGCGTCGGTGGCGACTGGAACTTTCCTGAGCTCGACGGGTTTAGGCAGTCTGTTGACGGCAGCATCACCATCCCTCCCGATGATAGCATCACCCTCCACAGGTTCTCTAGTCTCTTTGGTGGACTCGCTGAGGTACCCCCGAGAAGAACCCACGCATCGTACTTCTATTGGTGATGTTGTCTTATCTGCATGCCGTATTGACCGCATTTATTGGTCAGCCCCGACAGCCGAGATGCTCGACGGGCACGCGCGCTCTAATGTCATAGGGCTCGCTCACGACAGACACGGGTGTTCTGACCATGTTCCTGTGTACGTCCAGGTTGCCCTTGGGGCTGGCCCTCCGTCTCTGCCGAGATGGGTTTCTTCGCGCCCCGACTTGCCTGAGCTGGTCGGGAGTGTCTTGAGCGAGTATGAGCTGAGTGACGACCCTTTCGATCGCCTTCAGGAATGCAAGGCGGCCATGTTCGCTGCGCGGGACGCCTTGGTCAGCCAGCTCTACCGTCTGGGACCGAGTGACGGTCGTCAAAAGTTTGCCGTCTGCCTCAGGTTTATGCGTGCTGCTCGTGCTCATACACGAGCGCATCTACATGCCTGCCTTCATGCTCTTCCATATCTTAGCAACTGTTACGACTTTCGCAACATGTTCTACCTTGACTATGAAGGATTGCATGAATACCTCAGGGCCCTCAACGCTGACATGCTATCTGACATGGTGATTAATGAATGTACTACTCCTTCTGGTCATATTGATGCTGCAAGGCAAGCTAGGATGCAAGCCCTTCTCCGCTCTTGGTCGGTGAAGAGGCGCAAGCTCGCCACTTTTGCGATTGGAGACCCGCTCGGCTCCGCGCCGCCTTCGATTGAGCAGTCTGCAAAGAATTTAGCCGAGCATTGGGGCGAAGTACCTCGTGCGCCCCCTCTTCCTCCTTTTGTCAATCCTCGCGTTCTTGCTGAAGTAGGTGTCGAATTTCAACAGATTTCGTCTGGCATCTCTTGGGAGCTAGAAGAGTTTGAGCTTCGGTCCGTTATTATGAGTAGGAAGGACTCTGCCACTGGTCCCGATGGTATCCCTTACAGTGGATGGAAAAACTGAGGCCCCATGGTACATCAGTGTCTGTATCAAGCTTATGCTGCCCTTCTCCGTGGTCTCGCTCCCCCTATTGGCTTCAATCATGGCTTACTCGCTATCCTTCCTAAGGTTGACGTTGCTGACGGTGAGGCTAAATCTATCTTGGAGCCCAAGCAGACCCGCACTCTCACCCTTAGCAACACGGACAATAAGTTGATCTCTACTGCCCTGGCCATCCCGTTCCAAACACAAGCCCAGCACTCCGTAGTATCGTGTCAACGGGGGGGTATTGGAGGCCGCAATCTCTTGGACAGTGTTGCTGAGTTGGAGTTTTGGGTGGTTGAATGGGCCTGCTATCGTGGCCTCAGGTATCCTGGCATGCTCTTTTTGGATATTGCTGCTGCGTTCCCGTCGGTTCATCACTCCTGGATCTTCAGGGTCTTGGACGGTCTCAGGGTGCCTTCTAAGATCGTGTATGCCATCCGCATGCTGTACAACAACATATATGTATCCGTCGCTTTTTGTGGCTCCGTATTTCCAGGTTTCCATCTTTCTCGTGGAATGAAGCAAGGGTGCCCTCTCTCTTCCTTGATTTTTGTCTTAATATTTTACCCTGTTGTGCGTGGTCTTCGGCGCCGTCTGGAAGACCACCCTGCTTATTATCTTGCCTGTGCTGATGATATTGTCATTGCATCCGGTGACCTCTCCAAATCAGTTCCCGTGGTGATAGATTGGACGCAGCATACAAGTCGCGCCACAGTCCTCAACCTCAACTCCCGCAAGTGTTGGATCGTCTTTGCCATGGATGTCGACCCGGCCTCCGTTATCAATGAGTTTGCTTCTCTGGGTATTCCTGTGATGGACTTTCGTGTTGGGAAGTGCGCAAAGTATCTGGGCGTTTATCTTGGAGCTGACGGAGCCGATGAATCCCGGAAGGCTCCATGCATTAAGCTGCTCGAGAGGGTCGCCCACATCCGCTCTCTGAAGATTTCTATGATCCAGAACATTCGCGCATACAACGTTCTCGCCCAACCTGTGCTATCTCATATTGGTCAATTCTATGTTGTCAATGATCGTGTCACCACGACAGAACATACAGCCCTGCAGAGGCTGACTGCCTCTCCCAGACACGCCATCTCCACTTCACTACTGAAGAATCTGGATCAGCTTGGCTTTGATACGGTGCCTCGTGATATCACTTGTGAGAATCGTGCTGCTCTTTTTCGACCTGCGCTGCGTAGCAAGGTCTTCGATGACATATCTGTGCGATTCCACCAGATTGAGCATTATGATACTGATGTCCTGCTGCTTCCCCGCCTTCCTCATTGGCTCCAGCATTCTGTCACTCATACATGGCTTGAGAACTATAAGAGGCTGGTCGCCATTGCCCCTCATCTTGCTGAAGATGATGTGCACGAAGTACAGAAGAAAGTTTTCAGGCACTTGAGATCCCAGCGCGAGGTTCCTCCCATTGCACACCTCGGGCCGCGGATCCGATACTTCTGGCCTGGGGCTCCCTGGGAGATCGCTGATGCTGCTTTCAGGTATATTCACTTCCTGGTCAAGCGCGCTGGCCCCTTCGCGGTCGTCTCGTTCATCGAGACTATCTGTCATGCCTGGCCAACAACACGTAGGTTCCGTCAAGGGACCCAGATTTGTCGTTTTGGTTGCCAGGCCTTATTCGGTGATGCTGTTGATCACTACCTCCACTGTCCTGCTGCTCTGAGCGCCCTGCCTGTAGTTTTGCCGAATCTGCCTCCTGACTGCGCCACTCGAACCAGACATGAGCATATGTTTTGCTTTTACGGAGGCCCCCAGACCAGTCATAACCTACTATCGACTCTCCTTGTGCATGATATTCTGCTAGCATTTTACAACACTTTACGCGCGCAGGACAGATTCGGTCCTGTGTGCCTCTCCGCTCTCTTCCGCGCGCGTGCGCGGGTGCTGGCCCGCCGACGCGCTGGCATTCGAGATCTGCTGCAGCGAGCTGGCCCAGCAGGCCCGCCCACCGCTGCCGCCGAGAGAGATTGATGGACTGCTTGCCCTCTTCTCGTTCTTCTCTTGTCCGCCTGCCCTCGTCTCGTCGCTATGCCCTTGCGCTCCTCCTCCTCCTCCTCTTCCTCCTATTCCTCCTCCCCCTCCTCCTCCTCCTCCCCCTCTCCTTCTCCCCCTCACCCTCTTCCTCCTGACCTCCTCCTCCGCTTCCTCCTCCTCCGCCTCCTCCTCCTCCTCCT